CATGAATACCTGTTTGCAAATACAATAGAATACCTAGAGAAAATGAGTGAATTCCTGGTATCCCATAACTTCCCAAGATTGGAACACGAAGAAGTTGAAACCTTAAACAGACCAATAATAATCCAAGAAATCAACTCAGTATTAAGAAATCTCCCCACCAAAAAAGCCCTGGGCCAGATGGTTAGATGGTTTCCCAGATGAACTCTACAAGGCGTACAAGGAAGAGTTGATACCAATCCTACTGAAAGTATTCCAGACAATCAGAAGGGAGGATTTCTCCCCAGCTTATTCTATGAAGCCAATATCACCTGATACTATCCAAATGGCAAAGACTCAACAAGGAAAGAAAACTATAGGCCAATTTCTCTGATCAACATAGATGTAAAAATCCTTGACAAGATTCTAGCTAATTGCATCCAACAGCACATTTCAAGATCATCCATCACAACCAGGTGGGCTTCATTCCCAGGATGCAAGGCTGGATCAACATATGTAAATCAAGAAATGTAATCCATCACATAAACAGGTATAAAACCAAGAACCATATGATTATCTCATTAGAAACAGAAAAAGACATTCAATACAATCCAACATCCCTTCTTGATAAAAATCCTCAAACAACTAGGCATTGAAGGAACGTCTCTCAAAATATTAAGAGTCATCTAACGACAAACCTGCAGCGAACATCATACTTAACAGGCGGGTGCTGAAAGCATTTCCCCTATAAACTGAACAACACAAGGATGCCCACACTCATGCCTCCTATTTAACATAGTACCAGAAGTCCTAGCCAGAACAATCAGGTAGGAGAAAGAAATTGGGAGTATTCAAGTAGGAAATGAGGAAGTTAAACTATTCCTCTTTGTAGTTTATATGATTCTATAGCTAGACAATCCTAGAGAGTCTGTCAAAAACTTCCTCACACTGATAAACAACTTCAGTAAAGTCTCAAGATACAAAATCAATAAGCAAAAAACAGTTGCATTTCTACACACCAACAACAAGCAGGCTGAGAAACAGATAACAAAAATCCCATTCACTATAGTCACATAAAAATAAAGTACCTTGACTTTCATCTAACCAAAGAGGTAAAACACCTTTACAATGAGAACTACAAAACACTACTCAAAGAAATCAAGGATGATACAAACAAATGGAAGAAGAGCCCATGCTCATGGATTGAAAGAAATCAATATTATCAAGATGTCCTTTCTACCTAAGGCAATCTACAGATTTAACCCAATTCCTCTCAAATTACCAGCATCATTTTTCACAGACCTAGAAAAAACAACACAGAAATTCATTTGGAAGCAAAAAAGAGCCTGAACAGCTAAAACAATCCTTAGCAAAAAGAATAAAGCTGGAGGTACCACACTTCAAGACCTCAAACTTTACAACAAGGCTATAGTAACCATGACAGCGTGGTATTGGTACAAAAACAGACAGACCAATGGAACAGGACAGAGAATCTGGAAATAAAACCATGGATCTTCAACCAACTCATCTTCAACAAAGCTGGAAAAAACAAACATTGAGGAAACTATATTTAGCAAATAGTGCTAGGAAAACTGGCCAACCACCTACTGAAGAATGAAACTGGACCCATACCTATCACCATATAAAAAAATAACTCTTAGCCAGGCATGGTAGCGCGTACCTGTAGTTCTGGCTACTTTGAAGGCTGAGGCGGAAGGATTCGCCAGAGCCCAGCAGGTTGAGGCTGCAGTGGCCAGGAGAGTGCCACTGCACTCTAGTCTGGGCGACAGAGTGAGACTCCAACTCAAAAAAAAAAAAAAACACCTCAAAATGGATCAAGGACTTCAATGTGAAACCTCAAACTTCAAGAATCTTAGAAGAAAACTTAGGGAACATCTTCCTGGACATAGAAATAGGCAATGAATTCATGGCCAAGTCCTCAAAAGCAAATGCAGCAAAAACTAAAACTGACAGGCGGGACTTTATCAAGTTAAAAAAAAAAAACAATAAAAGAGGAGAGACAATCCACAGAATGGGAAAAAAATTTGCAATCTATGTATCCAACACAGGCTTAACATTCAGAATCTATAAGAAACTCAAATGAATCAATAGGGAAAGAAAAAAAACAAAACACCAAAATGACAATGGACGTGAACAGACTTCTCAAAGGAAGACATTCAAGCAGCCAACAAACATATGAGAAAATGCTCAGCTTCACTAATCCTCAGACAAATGCAAATCAAAACTACAATGATATCACCTCACACTGGCCAGGACGGCTATCATTAAAAAGTCAAAAAACAACAAGTGTTGGCGAAACTATGGAGAAAAGGGAATGCTTCTAAACCGTTGGTGGGAATGTAAGCTAGTTCAGCAGTGCTGCTTTCTCAAAGAACTAAAAATTGAGCTACCATATAATCCTACAATCCCACTTCTGGGAAATACCCAGAGAAACATAAACCACTCCACCAAAAAGACACCTACATACATATGTTCATTGCAGCATTATTCACAATAACAAAAACATGGAACTAACCCAGATGCCTACTGAAAATGGACTATATAAAGAAAATGTGATACATATATACCATGGGATACTATGCAGCCATAAATAACAAAATCATGTTCTTTGCAGCAACATGGATGCAGCTGGAGACCATCATTCTAAATGAACTATCACAGAAACGAAAAAACTGAATTCTGCTTTTCTTACTCATAAACAGGCCCTAAACATTGGGCATGGAAGCACAAAGGCAGGAACAATTGACACTGGACACTGCCAATTGGGGAGAATGCGGGAGAAACTGGGCATACAACCACCCCTTGGATACAATGTCCATTACTGGAGGAGAGAGGGCTCGCTGGAAGCCCAAATCTAACCTTAATGCAATTTATTTATGCAGCAAATCCTCATATGTATCCCACAATTCTAAATTTTTTTTTTTTAAGAAACACTAAAAAAAAAAAATCTGTGAGGCCTTCTTAACATAATACTGCTTCAATCATTTCTAACACCTACAAGGAAGTCTCCCTCTCCCCATAACTTGTCCTTACTCCTTTGTTAGCTACACAGGAATAAGAATGTAGAAGAAACTTCAACACTCATACTGGGCTTACGAATTAAAGACACTAAGACAACCAGTGTGTGGATAACTTGCTATCCTTTATGACTCATTCACCATTACAACATCTTTATTTCCTTTCTTCCCCTCAGAAAAAATAGGAATAAACTACACAGGTATGGCAAACTGGCTAGTTGTTCAAGAAACTGGCTTCCTTTTTTCTCCCAGGCACAGAGCAGGACACATTTCTCGGAATTTCCTTCAGAGAAGAGATCATATGATTTGGTTTTGTCCAAAGGAATACGGGCAAAAGAGATATGCATCACATCCAAGCCTGAAGCATACTTTCCATGCACAAACTTTTCCTTCTTTCTCTACATGTTCTTTCAACAAAGAAGGCTCTACTGACTGAGAGAAAGGTGAAGCCCCAAGAGGAAGGAGCCTGGGTAGCCAAGTGACTATGTAGAAACCTGCCCATGACAAGAAACATCCACACGGACTTTACACACAAGAAATGAACCTTGGAATAGTTACTTAACATCTTTGGGCCCAGTTTTCTCATGTTAAAGTTTGTCTAATTTCTTGGCAAAGAAAAAAAGCTCAATAAATATTAGCTGCCATTCTTATTAGGAAACAAAGTTTACTTCTTCTTAATTTCCTTCTTTTTCTTGGGCAAAGTAGAGCACTGGGGGTGGTTGGGATTAGTGGAAAGCACTCAACTGCATTAATTGGTTGAGAAATTCTAACTGGTACATTTAAGTACAAATAAATAAGAGAAAAAATATTTTCTTCTGGACCCCAGGCATTATATTTTATGACTGGTCTCTTGCTAAAACACTTAAATCTAATAAAGATATGAAATATAAAAAGAACACAATACCCCTTCTTTTTCGCCTCCACATTGAACATCTGAGGTTGCTCTAAAACATTTTTTTAACAATCCACATACATCGTTTCTGTGGCTTCAAACTGGCACAAAATCTATACAGAGAAGTACTTTGTGATATTACAATATTTAACTGATACAGTTTAATAATAGTAATGATCAATTTTTATTTTACATAAATAGCTTATAGAATACTTTACAAACCATGTTTTTCCAATATATTTATGTTACAACAGACAACACTTCTGTATAAAAGTATTTGTGTCAAATTATTTTGCAGAGAAAGTGGAGAAAAGTGAGGAGAGAATAAGATTTCAAAACGAATCCTCAACTATCGGCTTAAATATTTGGCAATTATTTCCTTTTATAAAAAGTTACAGGCTTGTAACTATGAAAAAGTGCAGTGCATCAATTTGATTTAAAAGTCAGTAGTGCCAAATACATTACTTGGGCATCAATTTTTTCTTTCTAAATATATTCAGATTCTGAATTTTTACACTTATTAAACAACAGTTTTTAATAATAACTATCAGAATCTTTTGTTACATAATCCCTAATCTGGATTAAATTATGGTAGTGTCAATATTTTGTAATTCCAATCTATTTATTCACCGTAAAATGTAATCTTTGACAACATCAACAGAGAATGAGCCTCCTATGTGTAGAAAGATAATAGTCTTACTACACTTGCTACCAATTACATTATTTACATGACTGCTAATATATCAAAATTTTAAAATCCACATTGATGCTTCCACTTGAATAAAGTACAAGAAGTCATTATTATACCAACATTGAAGAACTGATCATTCCTGAAACAAGGAACAATCTTTTTGTTAATATTTCTTTTTTTGAGTTGGAGTCTCACTCTGTCCCCCAGCCTGGAGTGCAGTGGCCGCTCCCGGCCACCGCAGCCTCGACCTG